CGTGACTCTCATGCGTTATTTGTGCCAATAAAAAAGGATATTTTTTGTTTTTTTCCTTTTTTGGTTTGTATCACTGGTGCAAATAAGTAAATCGGCTAGATTGTACCATTGTTGTAATACTGTAGATCTATGTAATTAATGATAAATATCAATAAAATTTGATTCCAAAAGGCACTTTAAAAAAAAATAATATTTTTTTTAAATTTTGACCAAAACTTGATAATTTTAACCAGAATTACACTTAACAATCTTAAATAAACTGATTTCTAAAAGCCTTCTAATTTCTAATATACACCTAAATATAATGTATACAAACTACTGTAGTCTAAACTGTGTATTTAGAAAGTTTTACATTCAAATTACAGCTTTTAATATTTGATCTGCAGGTTTGTGTAATAAACTTAAATACTAACTTCTAATTGGTTATATGCATTTAAAGAAGTTAGTATATAGTAATATAAAAAATTTTTTGAATAAATATATATTTGCAAAATATAAAACATGCATTTAGCACTAATGATTTCATATAACCAAAACAAAAATATACATTTAAAAAGGTATTACATTTATAAAGATTGTATTTAAGAAGGTCTGACTATATTGATAATTTTTACACAATATCCTGCAATCCGATTGGTAAATTGTAGGGTGGTTAATATCATCAGAAGGGAAGTTAGCAACACTTATTTTATATATTGTAAATCACAGGTATCCACTTACGACATATATATACAGTACAATATAAAATTAAACTGATTTAATTGATTTATACAGCCAATCATGATCATGTAAAGTCTTTTATACGTAGATCCTGATTAGTATTAAAAATCGGCCGATCTGTCAAAAAATTTTCCGATACTAATGCTAATGATTTGATTGGTCAAAGAAGAAAAACTCTCATTCTCACAAATTTTATGATAAAATAGCGAGAGTTTAAAAGATTACTCACCATTAGTCAAGCTTTAAGTTAAATTCGAACCACAAGTTTTGTTCTTAAAGACAAGAAGAACAAATCTTGTGGATTATTTTTATATCTTATAAATTTTTTAAGAGAGGGGTAGTATTTTTTGTAAAGTATTTTTTATGGAGATTTAAACCCGAGGGCACCATATTTGACATGCCCCTTACCTTTCGTCGACCAAAGCGCTTTTCCACTTCAAATCCTCCTCTCGAAATCCAAACAAGTGAGATTGTCGTCGAACCATGTCTCGGGGAGGGAACTACAAGCGAGATTGTCGTCGAACCATGTCTCGCCGAAGGAACTGCTCTTTTAAAAGTTTCATTAAAAAAGAAACAACAAAAAATCTTCAGGATCGACGTTGATCAAGGTCGAATACTATGGGATTCCAAAAAATCCGGAAAAGGCAAATATTATCTTACTAATTTGATGAAAGTATTTTGATCTTCATTTTAATTCTCGTGCTTGTCTGTCTTTATTAGTAAACATTGAAAGTATTAAGGAACTTCGGATTGGTGAAGCGATAAGAAGTTATAGGGAACATTTCAAGCTTAGTGTGGATATTGAGCCTCGATGGTTCACCATCATTTATGTTGATTTTGGAAAATATAAAACTCTTCACTTAGTCGCACCTACATTGGAATTATTTAATATATGGGTTGATAATTTGGAAAAACTTTATTTGCACAGAAGGGATATGATCGGAGGATTAGGTCATTTGAGAAAACGGCAATCTTTATGGCTGAAGCAACACTGGAAGCAGGCTGATAAAGATGGAGATTCAAGATTAGGTTTCGATGATGTCACAAGGTTATGCCGTCATTTGAATATAAACATGTCAAAGGCGCTGCTTAGGACCAAATTTAATGTTTGTATTGTTGCATGTTTATTATGTTGAATAATTACTATTATCATTATTTTTATTTTAATCTCAATTTCTGATAATCTTAATTCTAGGAAGCAGATGGAAATATGGATGGTTGGCTTGATTTTACTGATTTTCAGCGATTTGTTAAGTTAATTAAGAAAAGAGTTGAACTTGATGAACTATTCAATTCTCTGGCGAAAGAGCGCAAAAATACTTTAACACTTTGTGAATTCAAAGACTTCCTCGTCGATGTTCAAAAGGTGCATATTTTTATTATTATTTGTTAATTACTTTTATTTTACTATACGCTCTAATTGAATTTATTAGATGGATACTTTGACTAACATCATTGTTTTATAACGAGTCAGTGCGTCTTGAAAGAAGAGGAATATGATAATTTGTATTATAAATTTTGTGATAAAGACCTTAAAGAGATGAATTTAGAGGGATTTAGTAGTTTCCTCATGTCTAGCGACAACGCCGTTTTTGCTTCAGAACACGCCAAAGTTTATCAAGACATGTCACAGCCACTAAGTCATTATTTCATCGATTCTTCGCACAATACGTACGTCAGAAGATCTTTTAAAGTCCGTTATTTAATTATTTAATCAATTATTTTCATTGATTTATTTTATTATTTAGATATCTTCTAGGACATCAACTGACAGGTGAATCTTCAGTTGAAGGATACATACGTGCGTTACAAAGAGGATGTCGTTGCGTTGAAAGTATGAATATAAATTTATTTCATACGCAAATTAGACCTTTTATACTTGCAAGAAACTTTATTATATTCTTATGAATTACTCATAAATCATACTTGTTTTTTCTCCTAGTTGATTGCTGGGACGGACCTGATGGTCCCATAGTTACTCATGGTCATACATTGTAATTAAACTTTAACTTGCATGTAGTTTTGTTATAATTATAATGACGAGTTTTATCATAAATTAGGACATCTAAAATCAAGTTTCAAGACGTTATTTCAGCAATCCGTACCTACGCATTCAAAGCCAGTGCATATCCACTAATATTATCACTTGAAGTTCATTGTAATATTAACCAACAAAACCAAATGGCTTCTATTTTATTTAACACACTGGGTGAATATCTCGTCACTAAGTTCATATCAGAAAACGAAACCGAATTACCGAGTCCTGCAAGCTTGTTATATAAAATAATATTAAAAGTAGGCATTTTATGATTAGTAATAGATTTTCTTATAAATTTCTTATCGAACATTATCAACACATTTATATGAAATTTAAACCTTAATAATCAGGGGAAAAATCTTCCTCCTAATTTATCAGAAGACTATATCGACTCGACCACTGATACTGAATCTACTACTGATACTGAGTCAGATGTTGAATCATCTAAAGGTAAGTCTTTTTAAGTATGCCTATTAATGTATTCATATATTAAAATTATCATTACGACTTTTATTCTTATATTTGATAGAAAAAGAAAAAAAGGCTAAACCTAAGAAGACTAAATTACGAATTGCAAAAGCACTTTCAGACTTGGTAGTCTACTGCTCTGCTGTTAAGTTTAAAGGATTTGATCATCATCGCGGTATGCTTATCAGACTAAAGATTTAGGGATTACATTTTCCTAAGAATTAATAACATCACAAATTATAAATGTGTAGAGAATTCGAAGTACTATCACATGTCTTCCTTTACTGACAAAGTTTCTTTAAGACTCCTAAAGTCTGACAAGATTGCTTTTATTCGGCACAATACACGTCATTTATCACGTATATATCCGTCGGGTTTTCGAATAAACTCGTCAAATTTTGAACCACATCATCAATGGATGGTTGGGAACCAAATGGTCGCCTTAAATTGGCAGACTTTTGGTTAGTTCTGACTTTGACTTTTTTTTTCATTTATGACACTTTATATAAACTTTTTATTGGATCATTTCAAGACCTAGGAATGCAAATCGATCAAGCCATGTTTTCAGTTAATGGCAGATGTGGTTATGTACTCAAGTCAGAACGACTGCGCAATCCCGAAATTATTTCTCCAGCTATAAATACACATCCGCCAACTCAAACATTGACAATTCAAGTATGCAAATTGTGTTTTATTGATGATTTCAACATTCTTTATTTCACAAATTAATACACATTTCACTTTTTATTAATACATCGAAATAGATAATTTCTGCACAACAGCTCCCTAAACCCAAAGATGCCCTTGCAGACGAAGTAATTGATCCATTTGTTGAAGTAGAATTGCTCATTCCCGGTGCTGATGCTACAAAGAAAAGGACTTACACCATCACCGATAACGGTTTTAACCCTACGTGGAATGAAACTTTAAAATTTACATTGAATTGTGAAGAAATGAGTTTGGTATTTTTGCGGTAAATAGGTCTAATCCTATTGAAAATGTTGTTAATGCACAATTCGCTTAAATGAACGTTAAAATCATTAATAATCTGAATTTATATAGATTCGTTGTTTGGAATGAAGATGTTAGGAGTAATGATTTTATTGCATCTTATTGCATTCCCGTAACTAGTTTACAATTTGGTGAGAATTTTTTTATTTTTTTATTTTTTTATTTTTTATTACATATCAGTAATTTTGAATGTACTTTAGGATATCGTCATGTTCCACTAAGCGATTTTAATGGCGAGCAGTATCTTTTTACTACGTTATTTATTCGTTCTTCGCTCGAATTTACTCCCGCGTGTAAAAGATGATATTTTTTTAATTAGTTTAGATGTAAATATTCTGCTTTTTTTTTTATAATTGCAGAGATAAAGTATGATTTTAAAGCTCTATTATTTAATTCAAAACTACAATATGAATGTAATCAAGGATTATTAGTGTTACCAACTTAAAAAATTAGGGTTTTGCTATTTATTAGTCAGGATGAAAAAAAAAATTAAGGCGCAGCAGTCTCATTAAGTGATCGAAATTTTTTTTTAAGTAGCGGTAGGGTTACCATAAAAATAATGTTTTATGCAAAAGCGGATTTCAACTTCATGTGATCTACGTAGCTAATATAGATACGGACTTGTGAGTTTACTAATTTCCCCGTTTCTGATTGGTTCTACTAATTATTCACATATCGAAGTACCTGTGTTATTAATCAATTTTATAGTATATACTCCGATACTGAAGTGGGAGGGAGAAATTAGTAAACTCCAGACGAGTAGGTTAGTGATGTCTACCATTTCGTGTAACTCGAGCTTCCGGAATTCGATCTGACGATTCAGATTCGGACCTGCGAATCACTAATAACAAGCTAATATTATAGCAAAATTACAAACCGAGCAACTTTACTTAGTACATCGACAGAAGTTTGTCTGATTGGCTAGTGTAAATCAATTGCCCGAGTAATTAATTTATACGTTTTATAATATTTTTAAGAACGTAGTATTGCGCAAGTAAATAGTTGCTCAAACATCGTTTTTAGCTTCAAAAGAGCGCTATAAAGTTAACTTTAAAAATAAGATCTTATTTAAGTATGCTTGCTTAGTAACGACTTTTTTGACATATAAAAAATTGTGTGATTTAATTGGTTGATATTCACGTGTAGATCTGAAAATCCTGCCTATGAAACATCTATATAGCAGGTTATGATTTCCTCCCTGTCGGATTATGCGGATATTTCCATGGTGCATATCGAATTAATTGCTTGTACGTCGCTATGAAACATTCGCAATTTTTAAGCTAATGATTGGCTTTCAAACTAACAAACGTTAAATGACGAATTTTTAACAAACTTTATATTTTGAATATTTATTGATTTTTTTTTTTATTTTTTTATTAAGTTAATAATTGGCTTTCAAGCTAACAAATGTTAAACGTTAACAATTATCAAGTTCTTATTTAATGTTTTTTTTTATTTGTATTGAGTTAACGATTGGCTTTGAATTTTTTTTTTAGTCTTTTCATTATATGATTTTTTAATTTAATAAAAAGTTTTTTTTTTTATTTTTATATTTAATTGTATACATTCGTGAAGGCAATGGATTTCTTTTGCAATTGTGAAGGATCGTAAAACAAAAAGAACCTTTTTGTTTTTTTTTTTGGGAATTGCCATAGTTTTTTGTTATTTTCACTATGGGTTACACAAAAAGATATAAAAAATTCTATTTTTAATGACCAATTAAATTTGGATGTTTTATAGAATAGGTGGGGAAACTCTGCCAACTCTGCAACTCCGATATTAAAAAATTAATGATTACTAATCATTAACGAAGCTTATTTCTTATATTGCCCACCTATTCTATAGAACATCCTTAAATTTAAGAAATCAATTTTTAGGGTTGTAGAGGAGATTTTTTTGGTTCTGATAGTAGTAAGATTATCAAGATCGGCTTGGTAGATCTCAAAATAATTAAAGATATAAATATAAAGGAAATTAATTTTTTTAAAATTAAAGAAAATTTTATTAAGTTAGGGTTTGTTAGGCTTCTAAGTAAAGTTGTAGAGGAGACTTTTCTGGTTCTAATGGTAGCTAGATCATAAAAATCAGCCTGATGAATCCCAAGATATTTGGAGTTAAAGGCATGAACATAAAGATCTGCAAATTAATAGTTATACAAAGTATTATATTCTTTAGTACTTTGTGTAACTATCAATTTGCAGATCCCTATGTTCACCAATTTTGATGATTTAACTACCATTAAAATCAGAAAAGTTCCTCAACAGATTCTAACTTAATAAAAACTTATTTAAATATTAAAAAATTAATTTCTTAAATTTAATTAGTTAAAAATAAAATTTTTATATCTTTTTGTGTAATCTATAGTGAAAATAACAAAAAACTATGGTGAAAATAACAATCTCCTTTTATTTTTTGGAAATAATTGTAATTGTTTCTGGTATATATTAATATCTACTATATATAAATAATATTTGTGATTTTATTTTTCCTGTTAAAAAAAAAAAAAGACTATTTTGAATAATAAAATTAAAAAAAAAGTGAAATATTGAAGAAAAATTAAATATTATTACTTATCTTGAGAAAAATAAAATAAGCATTAAAGAAGTGTTCAGAAAATTAAATATCCAACCTAAGCAATTATGCGATTAAATTTGTAATAAAGAAACGTTAATTAAAGCTTTACCCAAAACTTTTAAACTACATAATAGACATTCGCACTACTATTTACAAATTGAAGAAACCTTATATTACAGTCAGAGGGATTACCAAATTTGGATATTGATTCTGGAATGTTTTACAGGGGATCCTCAAACTATGATTGGCTTATAATCACACCTTTCGGCTAAAGTTTTTTGGCTTTTTGTACTACTTAGTCGCAACTAGTAACTTATATATAAAAAAATAAAAACTCATAGTTTTATAATCTGTTATGATCCACTTAAGATCCATTTTTTTTATTAAAATAGATAAGACTTGAAAAAATTCTCAAAATTTTGTCTGTTTATTTAAAGTTCATCTAGTTTTTACTTCTTTTTTTTTTTGCTTTTACTTAATATTTAAGCATTTTTGCAATGGCATTTTCTATCTTTAAAAGAGGATTTACAAATAGATTCAATGAAGTCTTTTATTTAAACATATTTCTATTTTTATTTAACAGTTTGTTTTATTTTTCTAGATACTGAAATTACAAAATAAATATAATATAATTGAGAATATATTTAATATTGTATTATTGAATAAGGTTTTATTCAATTTGGTTAGGCATTATTCAAAAATTTTTGTAAAATTACAAATTAGATTTTTGGTAATATTTCGGTATTTATTGATTATAATCAAATGATTTTTATATCATTTGATCTGTCTTATTAAAACGAATCGAATGATATAAAAATTATTTGATTCTGATGGGTGGTTGGCGAAATATCTTTGTAGTTAGTATTAGTAAACAAATGGTTATAATAAGATTTTGTACTAAGCAAATTGGCTTTAATACATCAAATAAAGTATTCACAGCATCAATTTTTGTATAATTTCAAAATTTGAATAAACTTGGATCATTTTTTATTAATGAATATTTGCTTTGTACATTATTGCAGTATTGTGATTTGATTAATTTGTATATTTGTTGTGGCTATAATCTGATTAGCCAATTAGTATATAATATTGCATCATTTTGGTGTAATGGAAATGCTTAGAATCATCTGATTGACATTTCTATATCATAAAAGGTGTGATTAATATTGCCTATATTTGGTAATTTCTCTGACTATATTACTGGATTACAGAACAATATCAATTACAAAATTCTATCATCTGAAGATTAGTAACTGCAAAGATGACCTCACTTACCCAAAATATGATCTATCAACTATTACTGAACTACTAATTCATAGCAATTACCAGAAGATTTAGAGAAAAAAAACAAAATTTTCTTAATTATGTTTTAAATTCCTATATTTAATATAATTATCCTTTGTTTCTTATTAGTAATATAAATGAAATGCCTCTTATATTTGGTTCACCTAATTCCTCAACAATTAAAAGGCATGATATATATACTATTAGTATATGTACCTCAGATAATGAAAAAAAAATTTCACTGTTGTTCTCAGATATATAACTGATGGAACGAAACTATCTGTAGTCTGCATATTCAAGAAAAAAACTATACCTCAAGGAAACTATCTAAGAAATATGTTTGTTTATATAAATGAAAAAGGTTGAATAAAAAAATAAAATAGAAATGTTGTAGTAAATTAATAATATATAGAGTTCTGCATTTGATTTGATTTGATTTAATTTGATTTAAATATTTGATTTCAAATCAAATTCAAATTTAGATTTTTAAATTAATTCAAATTTAAATTGAAAGATCAAATATTTGATTTGATTTGAAATATTTATAAATAGCTAAAATTTGAAAAGTTATAGTTTTAGAAGCTATTTTCTCAAAATTTATTAAGACAATTACTAATTTGGTTTTATAAAACTAGGGCTATTTTGATTAGAAGAACATTTTTTATTTAAGGGTAGAGGATATGTAAATCAATTTTCATATGATCATGATGGCAAAAATTTTTCTTTTTGTAATTAAAGAAAATTTTATTAAGTAAGTTATTTTAAAATTTATAACAAAATTTGTAGAATAGATT